AGAGCCTCATCGAAAAAGTGATGGCAGAAGACACTGCCGTTCCATCCAACTTCCTTGTACATAAGAAAGAGAATATCGCCATAAAGAAGAAAGACGCACAGCCCCCCTCCGAAAAGAGCATCCCACCAAACACGGACTGCTCCTCGGAGAGTTACCACACCGCCGAATCTCCAGAGGAGACTCTGGCTGAGGACTTGGAGCCCCAAAATATCGCCAACACCACGTTCAATATATACAAGTTTGAGGGTATGGGGGTGCTCTATATATTACATGATGTGTTGTGTCATAGGGAGAGCTGCGAGAACTGGACATGTGGAAATAAATAGTTCATAGTTTTATTTTGCAGTGCACCCCTCTGATAATGGTTTTGCTTTATCAAGGATCTGATTTATTTTTTTCTCTGGCTTTGGGGTAAAGTGCCCACCTGTGTCATCTTTCTATGAACCCATATATACGCTATCATCAAACATGGGGTGGGCTTAGGTGCGGCGGTGGAAGTTGGCCTCTAAGAGGAGTAAAGGCCATGGTAATAGTGAAACCAGAATCAGAGGGGAGCACGGAAGAAGCTTTTGTGGCTAATAAAGGTAAGAGCAGTGCTGCCCTTTGTTTTAAATGCTCCACCCTGATCAAAAAAACGCCTCCTCGTTTATGCCTACTTGCAGACTCTGGGGCTGTATTTTCATGCGGTCTTTGTTCGTAGTAGATTGTATTTAATGGGTGACCTTTTATACTCGATCATGAACTGTTCTATCCGTCCCTTCCAGTTCCCAGTCCGGACTTCAACTTCCAAGCTGACGAGTATGTGGACGTGAACGTGTCGGCCTTGGAGAACCCTGAACATTTCTGGGTCCAGATCCTCGGCTCCCGATCCTCGCAGCTCGACAAACTGACCATGGAGATGAGTGACTTCTATTCAAAGCAGAAGCGGGTGAGTGCACCATGTGAACACCCTCGGATGGTAACTTTTCACTTAAAGCCCATCTCCGGGCAAAACCTATTCTCAGTAGTTTGTTACCGTCTAGCAGCAGCATTCTCGTCTCATCTTCCATAATAGTCACCCTTCAAAGCCTCTATATTTGTAAGTAGCGCTGAAACGACAAATTGATAATGAGAATCGTTGACAACGATTAGTTGATTCTCGATTAGTTGAATCCTCCCCGCTGCCACTCTGTTCTCCTCCCTGCAGGTGCTGGCTGCAGTGGTCTATGTCCCTTTCAATCCCTGCTGTATCGGCAGAGGCAGAGGGGACACAGACCACTGCAGCCAGCACCAGCAGGAAGGAGAGACAGCGATCCGTCTGCTATAGAGCCAGTGGATCGCTTGTATGTGTGTTGGTCCCGAGCTCCACTGTGCCCGGTGCGGTCCCGGGACCAGCATAGTGGCTCTGTGACGGGATCAGAGGGAGATCAGTACATGTTATCCCTCCGGTGCCCTCTCCGCTGTCAGAATGCGGAAGTGAACTATATTACATCACTTCCGCATTCTTGTGTCACTCTCCAGCTTCGGAAGCTGATGAAGCAGATCTCTGCTTCATCTTTTTTGGGGGGTCCTAGGTGACAGTGGTCATGGAGACCCCTAATGTCTCCATAAAGAAGACCTGTCACACCCTCTTTGCTATCACATAGGGGGTTTTCTTAGCTATGTGATAGCAATAAAGTTAGGTGGGAAAAAAAAAATTAAAGTTGCAAAAATACATTTTAAAGTTACACATGAAAAAGAATTAAAAAAACACCAAATTTTTTAAAAGTCCCCACCCATACATAATCTCATGCAAACATGCGTTGGGTGCGCATACGTGCGAAAACGACGATTGCACCCATTTAGCCGCACATGTTACATATCGCCGCGACCTTCGCAGTGAGAGCAATAATTGTAAGGCTATCAATCACTGATAACACTAAACTGATAAGCAGTAAAAGCTTTTAAAGCGTCGCCTATGGTAAGTTTCGGTATGGTATTTTTTAGCGATTTTTCGCGGGTGCGTGCAATTTTAAAGCTTGACATTTTTCGTGTCTGTTTACCCGACGTGACCCCAACTTTTATATTTTACCAAAAAATTGGGTAATAACAATTGGTTCCTAGATGCCACTTTTTCAGGCCCAAGTACAAGTACTTCCCCTCATGTACTTACCGATACTTTTTCTTAAAGGGACAGGTGACTTTAAAGGATCCATAGTACAACTACATGTTCTGTACTATGGATCATGATTTAACCTATTCATGTTAGCAGCGGAGAATTGTAACTATTGCTGGAGTGTAGTGGAGGTATGTGCTGTATATATGTACTACATATACAGTACACACGTCCAGTACACTATAGCAATAGATTTACAGCCAGCCCCGTCCCAGCTTCCCTCACTCAGTTTCACTCTGATTCCTGGTGCCTCTCGTAGTCGGCGCTGGGCAGGATCGCTGCATCACGTCTCGGTGCTCATCTTGTGGGAGGCGCTCACAATTCTGCCCTGCTAACACGAATGGGTTAAATCATGATCCGCAGTACATATGTCCTGTACACTGCAGTAATAGAATTACAATTCTCCCCTGCTAACATGAATATGTTAAATCGTGATCCATAGTACATAATAGTACATAACATGTAGTTGTACTATGGATCATTTAACCCAGTGGTTCTCAACCTGTGTAACCTCAGGACCCACATTTGTCCTTGGTCATTAAGTCGCGACCCAAGTTGCACTGCAATGGCATGCACAAAATTGTGGTACCACGCGGCTCGAACTGTGGGTGGGAGATGAGTTTGGGGTGCCATTCAAAAATCCACCCAGTCTCCATACCTTAAAAGAACTGGAGTGGATCCTCAGCCTGGGGTCCAGTGCTGTGCTGTGACAGAGCTCCATCCATATGTGCAATGCTTGTACAGCTCCCTTTGCATGCCCTGCAGAGGTACCAGGAGCCAGAATGTGACATTACTCTGGTCCAGGCACCTCTACATGACACGTGATGGAGCTCCCTCACAGCCATAGCCCCAGCCCATCCAACCTCAAGCTGACACTCGGCAGCATATTTTAAATGGCTGTTTGGCGCACAAAAACTGACAGTGCTGCAAAAGGAGGAGGCTGAGGAGCCTCGCACCTAGAAAAGTGGAAGGCATGTGGCGACCCACCTGAACATGGGGTCGCGACCCATTTTTGGGTCACGACCCACCAGTTGAGAACCAAGGATTTAACCCATTCATGTTAGCAGAGGATCATTGTAAATCAATGCTGCAATGTATGGGACGTTTGTGCTGTATATGTACAGTACATATAGATATACAATTCTGCACTGCTAACATGAATGGGTTAAATGATCCGTAGTACAGGGCTACATATCATGTACTATGGATCATTTAATCCATTCATATTAGCAGGGGATAATTGTAAATCTATTGTTGCAGTGCATGCTATGTCGTATATAGTACTTGTACATATAGAGTGCACTGCAACAATATATTTACAATTATCCTCTGCTAACGTGAATGGGTTAAATGATTCCTAGTACAGGGCTACATATAGATCATTTAATCCATTCATGTTGGAGTATAATTGTAAATGTATTGTCTGCACTGTATGAGCAGTGTGTACTCTATGTACTCTATATGTACTACATATAGAGTATATACTGCTCGTGCAGAGAATACATTTACCCCCTTGCCCTCACTCACTGTGCCGGAGAGAGCAGCGACGAGTCAGCGCTGGTCCAGTGGGAGGAGCTCCAGGTGGGGTCCTAATTTAGCTGGCTCAAAGGTGCCGGCCAGCTAAATTAGAATCCCACCTGTAGCTCCTCTCGCCGGACCAGCGCTGACATTTTTTTCTTACTTACCTCGCCGAGCGTCGCGTCACTGCTGCTCCGGTGGGCGGCACTCCAAGCGGGGTCATCTGGCAGACTCCGGCCACCTAAATTAGGACCCCACCTGGAGCTCCGCCCAGCGGAGCAGCAGTGACGCAACGCTTGGCGAGGTAAGTAAGATAAAAAAACATAGCGCAAGCTTCGGCGCTAGGCATCGGGGCATTTTGACAAGTACAAGTACTTGTCAAAATGCCCTGTATCGGGCCCGATTCCGATGTTAGCATCGGTATCGGGACATCCCTAGTTCCTAACAATGTAAGAAGAAAAAAAACTTCTTTTTTTTTCAAAATTTTCAGTAATTTTTCCTTAACAACGTAAAAAATAAAACCCCCAGTGGTGATTAAATACCACCAAAAGAAAGCTCCATCTGTCCCCAAAAAATGGTATGAAATTACCGCAGCGCTGAATACTGAAAAACTGCCTGGACAGGAAGGGGGTGTAAGCACCGCGGTCAGCAAGCGGTTAATTATGTCACAGGTAAATTTTTTGTATTCGCAGTCTCACTTTCCCTTTTAATGATGAGCAGACGCAGTTAATTCGTAGGGAGTTGGCACAATGTTTGGGAGGTTTGTTGCTCTCCCAGAGATCAGCTTTAAAGACTGACAGGGGCCCCTTAACTTACACCAGACGCATTTTTCATTGTGGCTGTTTCAGAGAGAGATGTCGGAGATCCAGGTCGGCGATATCGTGGCGGCTCAGTTCCGTAATGACTTTTCCTGGTACAGGGCAGAGGTCCTGGGTGTCCTGGAGAAGGGCAGCGTGGATTTATACTACGTGGACTATGGAGATAACTGGCAGTGCCCCAAAGAGAACCTGTTCCCACTCCGGTAAGTGCAAGTGGGATGCTGCCTATCCACATGACCGGTATTCCTTCCAAACCGATATACCAGTACGTGAGATGTTCATTGCTTTTATGAATTCAGCATTTGAACTCTCTAAAACTTGAGTGCCTGAACCTCCCCCCATATTCATGATGTGGCCTTGGCATAGTGTCCTGAACCTCCCCCCATATTCATGATGTGGCCTTGGCATAGTGTCCTGAACCTCCCCCCATATTCATGATGTGGCCTTGGCATAGTGTCCTGAACCTCCCCCCATATTCATGATGTGGCCTTGGCATAGAGTCTTGAACCCCCCCCCCTATTCATATGATGGCCT